ACTACAAACATGTTTGGCCAAACTACTGAACCTCACCGCACCTCTCAGTTCTCTAGTCTTTCAGCGAAGCTAATGGTAGCTATGCCTACTTCATATATTATTGAGAGTATGGAATGAGCTAGTGTACAGAAAGTGCTTGAAGATTTTTTTTTTTTTTTTTTTTAATTTAGAAAGAGCGAGGGAAGGGGCAGAGGGAGAAGGAGAGAATCTCAAGCAGACTGCGCTGAGCACGGAGTCCGACGCGGGGCTCGATCTCACAACTCTGAGATCGTGGCCTGAGCCGAAGTCAAGAGCCAGACACTTAACTGACAGAGCCACCCAGGCGCCCCAGCACACAGAAGGTGCCTAAACTGTCACATAGAAACTCTGTGTAAACTGTTAGCTGGTGTGATCGCCTCCAAGAAGGATGTTGTACCTATGTCATTTCACACGTGTGCAGGTATAGTAGGATAAATTCTGAGAAGTGGAGTTACTCAGTCAAAGGGTATGTGCAGATTAATTTTGGATGGGTTTTGCAAAACTATCCATTTTAATTCCTTCCGGTGATGAATGACGTTGTGTCCTCATAGGCTCATCAAACCACACCAGACTCTAAAGTCTGGTCTTTTGGACTTTTGGCAAAAGTAAAGATGTGGGAAAAAGTAAGATGGGGGATCTCCTGATTTTTGGGAAAAAATCCCAACTCCAATGGGATTTGAACAAAACTCCTTTGGGCCGCTTCTTATTCTGGGCTCATTAGCATAGAAAGTTTTCTTCCTGAAATTCAAGACAGAGATCACGTGTGGGGTCCTTTCCCCGGAGGCAGCTGGTCACAGAGGGGAGGGAGATGTTGAGCCTGGGGCATTCTATCACATTTATAATGTTTGCAAATTGAATCAGGACTGCGAACGATTTCTCAGGACACATCTGCCAGTTGCTTACATCTTTCATGTCCTGGCAACATATGGGTAAGGTAAAAACACAAACACCTGAAACCCAGAGAAATGCACAACATCCCAGCTGACAAGAAGCCTTTTGAGGTCTCATCAAAACGTGAGCATTCTGATGCACCGAAAAATGAGGGACTATGTGAGAAGCATCTCAAACTGGGCAGGAGCAGGGCAACATTGGAAGCACCTGCTTTACAGAAACTGGGGCGATTTTTCCAGTACAGACCGGCTTGGTTTGGGTCTGTTTTTGGAAGAAGTGGCAACATTGGAGAAATGATTAGAAAGTAATCTGTTTGGGGCGCCTGGGTGGCTCAGTTGTTAAGCGTCTGCCTTCAGCTCAGGTCACGATCCCAGGGTCCTGGGATCGAGCCCCACATCGGGCTCCCTGCTCGGCGGGAAGCCTGCTTCTCCCTCTCCCACTCTCCCTGCTTGTGTTTCCTCTTTCGATGTCTCTCTCTGTGAAATAAATAAATAAATAAAATCTTAAAAAAAAAAGAAAGTAATCTGTGTGTCAATGTATTTATTCATTAAGTATTCAAAGAATGATTATTTGAATGCATGGGTTGTGGCATTTGAAAGTCATTTATCAGGGATTTGACATTTTTGCTAAGAATTCCAGAAACATGGGGCCTCTCTTATCTGAAGCTGGCTGAGCACCCTGAAGAGGGGGTTCACTTCTTGTGTTTTGCCCCTTACCCTTTGTGGTTTCATAAGGACCTGTATGTTTTCTTTTTCCAACTTTTGGCTCCCTGTCTTCTGGGTGGGAGTTTCCTCTGTATACACAAGTCGTGGAGCTTCATGGGCTGCCATGGGCTCTTCTTTGACGTGCCTCACGGGATGAGTCGTGTGTACAAGGATTCCCCATATAGGAGGTGGAAGCTCCATCGCAGCTCAGACTGTATCTCTAAGGACCTGGTTTCTCACTGGCTTCCAGCTTCTTTCCCTGGTGTTGGCTCCAACTCTGGGCCCCGCTCAGTGTGGTGATGTCCTTTGGCAGTTCTGGGCTCGCATCCCCACACCACACTATCCCTGAGACGAGGGGAGGGCTCTTTTGGGAGCCTCTACACACGTCAGAATGTTTTTATCTTCCTTAATGCCCTGTGTTGGGTTGTGTGACCATCGATGACCAGATAACTCAAGTTTTCCCCAAAGGGAGAAGAGAAATAGATGTTGGGAAGGCAACGCACAAATACCTGATAATAAGAACAAGACTCCTAAGGGTCTGGCGCTTGGCCTATCCCTGTGCCTTTGACCTTCAGAAGAACTGATTTGAGATCTGTTAATTATTTGGGGGGAGAAGAACTACTCTTTCCTTGAGTGATTTGTCTTGGGCTCAACATTCTCTGTTTCAGTATTTCAGATTCTGCTGGAAAAGCTACCTGCCCTCCTCATTGACCTGTTTTTAGTAAAGACAGTATGAGCTCAAAATGGAGCACACTCTGACATTCCGTTGTCATAGCAACCTGAGTGGTAAACATCAGCTTGATGCTGTTTGAAGGGGGTGGCAGGAGTTAGGGATTGGGAGGTTGGAGGAAAGCCAAAGATTGAGGGCCCTAGGCTTTGCCCCAGATTCTGCAGGGGGTGCTCCGTGGAAGGTCCAGGAAGGACACCACTTCTGTCTCCACCAGGGACATCAGAAGGGAATGAGCTGGAGTGAGCGGGAGGGGTTGGGGTCCAGACCCTCTAACTCCTCTTCGGACCCTCTCTTTACAGCCTCAGTTCTGGGAAGAGCTGTCTGTTCTGCGTACTTCCCTTCCTCGTGTTCTGCTGGCCCTCGCCGCCACCACTGTGCCAGCACCTCTCTGCTGAAACCGTCCCCCTTCCCCAGGTCCTCAGAGCTGCTTCTCAGGGACAGCTCCCTCCTCCCAGAGCCTGCCCCCCATTGCATGGCCCTTCTGACTATGCTACCTCCCCGCCATCCCGGGATGCCCCTCTAAGCCTTCTTGCAGGCTCCTGGGCACCTGCCAGGCCCGTGCACAGTGGGGCCCCTCCCCCTGGGTTCCTCTTCCCTGCAGGTCCCTCGCCCCTTCTTCCAATGACCAAGTCACCACCTCCCTCTGACGACACCCCCACTTCTGTGCTCAGAGCTCTGTCCTGAGCTTCAGCCTCTGCCTCACTCCCTCAGGGGCATGGGGGCTCCCATGTGTCTCTAAATCACTACCCCAAGCAGAGCTCTCAGCTTCCCTGAGCCTTCTCCCCGCTCAGTGACTGGCCCGGCCTCACCCCTGCCGAAAGCCAGCGACACCCTTACTCCCTCCTCTCTCGCGTCCACTCCATCTCTGGCATCTTCTCTCCATCCTGAAAGCCTTTCTGCAGAATAGATGGTGATGAGATTGGGGATATCAGAGCTGCTGAAACAGATATCTGACCATGGGGTGGCAGCAACCACGAGCTTTATTTGGGTAGCACTCGGACAGGTTGCATGTTCGGGGAGTCCCCTACCGGAGGAGACTCTTTCAGAAACAGAGCCCCCCTCCCCCCACCAGGTGGAAAGAGAGGACGAGTGCTCCCTCGGGAGGAGGGAACTGGGCAGGGGGCTCGTGTTTGAGTGCCGTCCCTCAGCACATGGTGGGAGCTGCCAGGTCAGGGGGCTCCGCGGGGCAGCAGCGGCTGGGGGGGGTCTCTTGTAGTTCAGCGATTTTATTCATGGGGAGCAGATGCTGGTGCAGTTTCACGGGGGATGCAAAGCAAGCAGGCACTAAGTGGCTAAAAATATGCCAATTTGGGCTATATTTAAAGCAATTGGATGTGTAAAAAATTGAGTTTGGCACCAGCGATCTTTGAAGTAATGGTCCTAGCCTCCTCTGAAGAGGTAAAGAATTTGGGGGGCCAATATTCGGGGGCCATTTTTGCCTCATTTATATAACAAAGGTCACCACCCTCTATAACCAGGACCTTTGAATCCATTTCTGTCCTGGTCATTCTTGCTTCTAGTCCATCCTCCATCATTCCAGGGTGAGGGTTTGCCGAATTGCATCGAATGGTGCCATGTTCCCATGACGTAAGCCACTTCAGTGGCTTCCCTTTGCCCCTGGGATCAAGTGGCCTCCAGCTGGCCCCGCATGGCCCGGACGCTTCTTCCTCTCTCGCCTGATCTGGAGCTCTTTCTCCCTTTCCCCCGACACCTGCTGCAGCCTCACTACCCCTTGTGGTCCTCGGCAGGCCTCTGTGTCCTGCCACCTCTGTCCTTTGCCGCTGCTGTTTTTCTCTGCCCAGAACCCTCTTTCCCATCTCTTGGCCTGGTTAATTCCGTTTGTCCTTTGGGCTCTGTGTTAGATTCCTGGGGCTGCTGCAACCGATGACCATAAATGGAGGGGCCTAAAATAATACTAACGTATTGTCCCACAGTCCTGGAGGCCAGAATTCCAAACTTATGTGCCGGCAGGGCTCATTCCTGTTGGAGGCGCCAAGGTAGAGCCTGTCCCATGCCTCCGTCCCAGCTCCTGGAGACCCTGGCATTCCTTGGCTTGTGGACATAATCAGTCCGATCTCTGCCTCCATGTTCACGTGGCCGTCTTCTATCTGTGATAATCCCTCTCCTTTCTTTCTCTTAAAAATACACCAGTCATTGGATATAATCCAACATGACCTAATTTCCTCTGCAAAGACCCTGTTTCCAACTAAGGTCACAGTCTGAGGTTGCGGGTGGATGGGAGTTTTGGCAGACACTATCCAACCTTGTCTGTAGGTCCTATCTTTCTCGGTTCCATCAAGTGGCATGATGTACCCCTCCTCGGTGCCCCCACTGTCACACCCTTGCTTTCCTTTATGGAATGGCTCATTTAAGTTCATGCCCCGGTGAGGCTGAGCTCTGCCAGGGCGAGGCTGCATTGGTCTGTTGTGCACCTGAGCCCTCAGTGAGCGCCTGATGCGTGAATGGCGGCATGCCCTTGTGTTATGTGCCCCCCAGAATTTGTAAATTGGAGCTCTGACCTCCAGTATGACGCTATGAGGAGGTGGGGACCTCTGGGGGTCATTAGGGTCAGATGAGGTCATGACTGTAGGGCCCCCATGATGGGATCGGTGCCCTTACAAGGTGTGGAGGAGACACCAGAGCTTCCTTTGTCCGCCATGTGCGGACATGGGGAGAAGCTGGCCAACTCCAAGCAAGGAAGCGGGCTCTCACTGGATGCCGAATTGGCCAGCACCTTGATCTTGGACTTCTCGGCCCGCAGGAGTGTGAGGAGGTAACTGTCTGTGTTTTAAACCACCCTGTCTGGTATTTGGTGTAGCAGCCAGAGTGGACTAAGGCAGATGGGCATGCCTCACCCAGCCCAGCGGAGACCCACAAAACCCGAGGAGGGAGAGCATATTCCTGCCTTCTCCTCTCACGTGTTCCTCGTGGGGCCGAGGTACTCACCGTGGTGGCCAGGCGACCCAGAGGTGGCCTGATATTGCCGCCATGGTCGCCTGCTCTGGTGGCCTGTGAGGGGGGTAGTAGGGGAGTTTGGCCTGAGAGAGCGGGGATTTCCTCCTGGAGCAAATGCATATGAATAAGGGAAGGAAAGGCCGTTTCATAAAGCCGCCAGATTTCCCGGGAAGGATGCCACCGAGCCATTTCCCCTGCTCTGTGGGATTTCTCAGGGGAAAGGCACAGGATTGCGGGCGGATGGCAAGCCATGGGTGCGGGCAAGGTCACGCGGGTCCTCTCCCTGGGGTGCACGCTCACCTCCTCCCAGGGCTCAGTGGCCGAGGGCCTCCTGGAGGACGGGACATGCTTCTCCCTGAAGGCGTCTGCGCTGGGCTTTCTGTGACTTGCCAACTGGAGTCCCGTGACATGGAGTCATCGTGCTTGTTTAAAGGGCGTTCTGTCGGAAAGCAGCAGTGTGCCTTGGCGCGCATCCCCAAATCGCCCCAAGTCTGGAACCGGGCAACCGACCACCTGCTGTCACACAGCCGCGGCAACCTCGGCCGCTAGGTGGCAGTGTTGCCGCACACGAGGCCCCTGGTCTCGCACGGGCGAGCGCGGAGGGGTCGGGGTCAGGGGGCCGCTGGGCTGGGCGTAGGCACCCCGCGGCGACCCCTGCACCTGCCTCCACCTCCTGGAGCACTGTTCCCCGTGTCCTTCCCTTCCCGGGCTGACTGCCCGACTTTGAATTAAACCTGAGAGAAGAGGAGCTGAGACTTTTTTGTTTTGTCCCCACCGGGACCCTCGCCCAGAGTTCTTGTTGAGAAGCAAGTTTACCTCTGACAGAGGCTCCTTGCCTAGCCCCGCGGGGCCGGTGTGGGGAGGACGCTTCCATTCCTTCCCTTGCGTTCCTTATGGGTTTTACCCTGCAGACTTTTGGGCTGTGTTACCAGTCAAAAGCGATAACGGAGCCCTTAACTTGCTTTGGAAAAAAGGTGACTGAGCCTGGGCCTTTGCAGCCCTGCAGGCAAACAGAAGGAAACAGGCAGAAGCACTATGGGTTCCGGGAGCCTACAGAGAGAACAGCGCGTAGAGCCTGGACTCCACCCTTTACGTGCTGTTCGACCGTAGGCATGTTTCTTGACGTCTCTGTGCCTTCCCCTTTTAACCTATAAGATGGAAACAGCACTCAAATTATTTAATTATATTAAAAATAAAACAATATGAGAATAATACCCTAACTCACAGACTCAGTAAAGAATAAACGTGTCAGGAGCTAATACTCGTGAAGCAGGTTAACAGTGTCTGGGCCGTTGCGGGCCCAGGAGACTTCCTCGTTATTACTGTTATTGTTATTGCTACAAATATTCACTGGGTACTACTAATGGTAAACTTGGGATAATTTCCCAACCAATATTGATCTATTCTTTCTCTGAGATTTGGCAACACATATAACCTCTATCAGGCAACTTAACAATACACATTTTACTTTTATTGTTACCAAGGTTTTAAACGTAGATTCGTCTTCCCTTCTCAGTTAAAATACTAAGTTCCTCGAAGGCAGGCCTGCCTCTCTGCTTGTCTTCTCATCACTGCTCTGCACTCCCTGCATCATCCCCCGGGCTCCTTTACTGGCTTGATTGTTGCGAGAAATTAATGCAGACAGGAAATGGGCTTAAGTTGGTTTTTTTTTTTTTTTTATAGTAAGTGAAATGGAGTTTTCAAGCAACCAGATAGTCAATTGGATTGTGGGAGAGATGTTTAAGGATCCCGAGATCATGCTGTTTAAACTCTTAACCCTTAAAAAATTATTTAAAATTAAAAAAATTTTTTTAGAGGGGCGCCTGGGTGGCTCAGTCATTAAGCGTCTGCCTTCGGCTCAGGTCATGATTATGACCCATGAGCCCCACGTCGGGCTCCCTGCTCGGCAGGAAGCCCGCTTCTCCCTCTCCCACTCCCCCTGCTTGTGTTCCCTCTCTCGCTGTGTCTCTCTCTGTCAAATAAATAAATAAAATCTTAAATTTTTTTTTTTTTAGAGAGAGCGAGAGAGTGTGCATGAGCTGGGGGGAGGGACAGAGGGAGAGAAAGAATCCTAATCAGGCTCCACACTCAGCATGGAGTCCTTTGTGGGGCTCAAGCTCATGACCCCGAGGTCATCACCTGAGCTGAAATCCAGAGTCGGATGCTCAACTGACTGAGCCACCCAGGTGCCCCTCCCCCTTAAAAAACAATCTTAAAGATTCATTAAAGCAGATTTTCTGGGGACCAGCCACAAAGACAAGATGTGTGTTTCCTTTCCTTTAGTCACTTTGCATGTTTGAAAAGAGTAGACTGTATTGAAAAAATGAAGAAAGAGAAGGAAAGGTATTCCATGAATGATTTTGGACTGACCTGAGCTAGCCTGGGTTAGCAGTGTTTCACTGCACTTGTCCAATGCTTTTTCTGCATCTATTGAGGTGGTCACAAGATTTTTATCTTTCATTCTGTTAGTGTGGTGTACCATTCATTTTTTGATTGCACAATACCAGTTGTAAATGCAAATGGAAGAGCAATTAACCCATATGCAGAATCCACAAAATGACACCAGTCGTATTTCATAGCTTGTAAGTGCATATGCATTTTGTTCTTCCCACAACCATGGAAATGCTGTGCAGAACCACCTCAGCTGTGTGTGTGTCTACTGTGCTTGATTGGCACACGCTCTGTAGCACTTTGCTGTCGCCCCTGCTCATGCGTCTCAGTTTGCAGCACGCTCATCAGGGCTTGCTTGGGCTCTCACTGACCTCCCCCGTGTCACGGGTCCACTGGAAATCTGGCTCCTGGGGCATCCAGAATGCAGGGTGCAAACAGAGCACCAAGGACCGGCCGACGAGCCTAGTGTGAGCAAGCTTGTGTGTCTGCTTCCTTGTCCCATTATTCTTCACTTAAAAAGCACAAGTTCAAAGACGAGCTCTTAAGAATTAAGAATTTCAGAGGTGTGGAGTGTAACAGCAGAGCATTAAACCCACAACCATGGGCCCTTCTGAGCTTGGGGCAAGGTGTCTAGTTGTCTTATCACTGCCTGCTGAGATCACTTTGGAGACTCAATATTCTAAAGGAAACATATCAGCCCTGCAGGGGATGTTGGTTTTTTGCGTGCGGGTCCTGGGTTCAAATGATCCAACTTGTGTTTCAAACGGAGTATGTCAAACTCCAAAGGTTAAACTCATTTGTTTCACGTAATTGCTAAAATGTTTGGTTTGTGACTGCAGGTGTATTCCTGATTTCTTTTTTTTTCAACACCCTCATTGTTGAGAGTGGTACTAGCAGTAAAGAAATTAGCCTTGATCTGGTGGAAATTGTTCCATTTGGGTAACTGAGTGCATTTTTGTGTTGCTTCCTACAAAGAACATCTTGTCATTCTTGTCAAATGGTACCCTGATGATGTTTGGGGGGTCATACTTCAGCTGGAGCTCATCTACCTCCAGGCTTCTGGGAAGAGACATGGAACTTTGGCTGAGCCAATCAGAACAGGCCATTCCTCTGGCCGCAGTGATTGGTTCAGGGATGGGATGTGACCCATCAGAGACAAGGAGATGGATGCCCTGCCGGCTTCTTCCTTGTGATGTGGTCTTGTTGGACGTGAAGGAAGGAAAAAGTGAGGCTTGGTGATGCTAATGGTGCTGTGACATGCATATTGGGAATGAAACCAGCTCCATAGAAGAGAGCAGAGTGACGGATAAAAATGCATCTTAAAAAACTTTAAAAAAAATTTTTTTATTGTTATGTTGATCACCATACATCATTAGTTTTTGATGTAGTGTTCCATGATTCATTGTTTGTGCATAACACCCAGTGCTCCATGCAGAATGTGCCCTCTTTAATACCCATCACCAGGCTAACCCATCCCCCCAACCCCCTCCCCTCTAGAACCCTCAGTGTGTTTCTCAGAGTCCATCGTCTCTCATGGTTCGTCTCCCCCTCCGACTTACTCCCCTTCATTCTTCCCCTCCTGCTATCTTCTTCTTCTTTTTTTTTTCTTAACATATATTGCATTATTTGTTTCAGAAGTACAGATCTGTGATTCAACAGTCTTGCACAATTCACAGCGCTCACCATAGCACATACCCTCCCCAATGTCTATCACCCAGGCACCCCATCCTTCCCACCCCCCACCACTCCGGCAACCCTCAGTTTGTTTCCCGAGGTTAAAAATTCCTCATATCAGCGAGGTCATATGATACATGTCTTTCTCTGATTGACTCATTTCACTCAGCATAAGACCCTCCAGTTCCATCCACGTCGTTGCAAATGGCAAGATCTCATTCCTTTTGAAGGCTGCGTAATATTCCATTGTGTATATATACCACATCTTCTTTATCCATTCATCTGTCCATGGACATCTTGGCTCTTTCCACAGTTTGGCTATTGTGGACATTGCTGCTATAAACATTGGGCTGCACGTACCCCTTTGGATCCCTACATTTGTATCTTTGTGGTAAATACCCAGTAGTGCAATTGCTGGATCGTGTGGTAGCTCTATTTTCAACTTTTTGAGGAACCTCCATACTGTTTTCCAGAGTGGCTGCACCAGCTTGCATTCCCACCGACAGCGTAGGAGGGTTCCCCTTTCTCCACATCCCCGCCAACATCTGTCGTTTCCTGACGTGTTAATTTTAGCCATTCTGACGGGTGTGAGGTGGTATCTCATGGAGGTTTTGATTAGGATTTCCCTGATGCCGAGCGATGTTGAGCACTTTTTCATGTGTCTGTTGGCCATTTGGATGTCTTCTTTGGAAAAATGTCTGTTCACGTCTTCTGCCCATTTCTTTGGATTATTTGTACTTTGGGTGTTGAGTT